GCTCAACGTTCGATTCTGATGGGGAGCACATTCCCGGTTTGCGGGCTCGATGCCCAGTAAAGGGCGTGCAGGAGGCAGCCGATCAATGTTTCTCCTCACTGATGTTTCTATCTCTCTTTCCCTCTCCCTTCCTCTCTGAAATCAATGAAAATATATTAAAAACAAAACAAAGTATGGCCCTTATCCCTCTTGTTAAGATGAGGAAATTCAATCTCAGTAAAGCTAAGAATGTTATCTAAGGCCTCACAACTGGTTAGTGGCACCGTTAAGACTGGTCCGTAGGATGACTAAGAATAAATACCCCTTCTTCCTATACCACACCCTGCATCCCATAAGAGACCACCTCAGAGTTGAACAAACAAATGACACATATCCAAATGTCTTTCTTATTTATTATGGCTTTTCTAGAACTTAGCACAAAATGGTTAATAAATATTAAGGCAGGAGAATCCAAGATGGCTGCACAGGCAAACACCTAGCTGCAGCCGCACACAACAATTTCAATAAAATACAACTAAAATATAAAATGGACATTACCCAGAACTACAGGAAAGTCGACTGACTGGAAATTCTACAACGAGAAGCAAGGAGAAAACCAGAAGGAAGAGCGGAGGAGCTGTAAAAGCCTAAGGTACAGAGACACGCGGCGCGTGGAGAAGACAGAGCCGGAGAGGAGGGGGCGGCTGAGTGCCTGGCTGGCGTTCCCTAGCAGGAAGGAGATAAAAGCTCCGACTGTGCTGAACCCCAGACTCGACAGCACTGAACCCCAGTTCTAGGCCAGAACCTGGGGACCCAGGCTCAAACAGAGGGAGCAGGGGCTGTGAGGCAGAATCCCAGGGGAGCAGTGAAAGGCAGTCCCGGAGGCGCGCACATTGAGTGCAGAGGACAGACTGTTGACTCTGCTGCCAGATTGCCCTGGCGGGAAGGAGACAAAGGCTTCAGACTGTGCTGGGCCCCAGTTCCGACTCCTCTGAACCCCAGTTCTAGGCCAGATCCCAGGGACCCAGGCTCAAACAGAGGGAGCTGGGCTGTAAGGCGGAACCCTGGGGGAGCGGCGAAAGGAGGTCCCGAAGGCGCACACATTGCACGCAGAGAAGAGATGGTTGGCTGTGCCAAGGGATTGCCCTGGCGGGAAGGAGACAAGGGCTCCAGACTGCTCTGAACGCCACCTCCAGCTCCACTTCCAACTGAACTGAACCCCAGTTCCGGGCTCATTGGGGGAGAGCCTACACTGTTTGGTAGCAGGTGAAAATCGAGGGCACCTTTCTCTCAGAGGTGCTTGCAACGAGTACTGAAGGACCCTGGGGATTACTGAGACTCAGGAACCACACAGAGCGTGGCTGACGGAAGCCAAGCCTGTAGGCTCCACCCTGAAACTCCGCCCCATCAGGGAAGCTGCGAAAATGCCTAGACAAGGAAATAGATCACAAACGAAAGAAATGGAGGACAAAAAGTGACTGGATGTAGAGTTCAAAACCACACTTATAAGGTTGTTCAAGAATCTCCTAGAAAAGGCGATAAAATAAACGAGACCTATGAGGATATGAAAAGGGATCAACTAGAAATAATAAGGGATCAACAAGAAATAAGGGATCAACAAGAAACAAAGAATACATTGTCTGAAATAAAAAATATTATACAGAGTCCTAAAAACAGAATGGAAGATCGCAAGAATCAAGTCAAAGATTTGGAACATAAAGAGCCAGAAGACACTCCTCCACAGAAGCAAGAAGGCAAGAGAATCCAGAAAATTGAAGATAATGTAAGAAACCTCTGGGACAACTTCAAGTGAACCAACATCAGAATTATGAGGGTCCAAGAAGATGAGAGAGAGCAAGATATCGAAAACATACTGAAAGAAATAGTGACAGAAAACTTCCCCCACCTGGTGAAAGAATTAGACTTACAAGTCCAGGAAGCGCACAGAACTCCAAACAAAAGGAATTCAAAGAAGACCACACCAAGACAAATCATAACCCGTTAACCGGGGAGTTCCCTTTTTAATTACGCAACCAGTAATGGGCGCGTATTCTTTCACTAGGACGTGTCAGTATGTCACACCTGGAGGATGTAATTTCATATTATTATTATTTTTTATTTATACTTAATTAAAATAAATGATATATATATTTTTTTGTTTATTTATATATAAAGCACAAAGGAAAATACAAAATTACAAAAGAATACCAACAAAAAAATGGAAACATCGAATTAAAAAATTATAAATTTTACAAATAATTATAAAGATTACAAAAAATATATAACATCCCTCTCAGGGCGCAACATATATTTCCAGGACGTATTCATATGTCCTACCTGTTCCCAATATTGTTTACGTTTGAAGTATTTATATGTCCCGCTCGGTTAACAGGTTAAAATTCCAAGAGCAAAAGACAAAGAGAATATTAAAAGCAGCAAGAGCAAAGCAGGTAGTTACCTACAAAGGAGCACCTATATGATTGTCAGCTGATTTCTCAACAGAAACCATGAAGGCCAGACGGGAATGGCAAAAAATATTCAAGGTGATGAATAGTAAGAACCTACAGCCAAAGATAATCTATCCAGCAAAGCTATCACTCAGAATCGAAGGCCAGATAAAGAGCTTCACTAATAAAAAAAAAAGCTAAAGGAGTTCATCACCAACAAACCAGAATTATATGAATTGCTGAAGGGGGTTCTTTCGGAAGAGAAAGTAAATAAAGATAAAAACTATAAACAACAAATACGTAACTATCAACAAGTGAATCTAGTAATAATTAATGTCGTTTTTAAACATTCTATTAAAATCTTGCTTGGCGTTGACTTGTATTGACATAACCTTCAAACATGTGGTATCTACAGAACGTGTGAAGTGCAATTAACAAGTTTTGCTTGAAAAAGTTTGTGTTTGGTTTGGTTTTTGTTGCAAAACTAGGGCTAAGAAGATGGCGGATGAAGAGCATATTCGGCACTGCATGCTTTACGAGTTCCAATTAGGAAGAAAAGCAAGTGAGGCTGCAAAAAACATCTGTAGTGCTCTTGGTCAAGATGCAGTTAGCGCCAGAAAATGCCAGCGTTGGTTTGAGAAATTTCGCGAGGGAAATTTTTCGTTAGATGACAAGAGTGGTCGAGGCCGTGTGTCCAATTTTGATCAAGAAGCTCTTCAAGCTCTTTTGGTGCAAAATCCTCAAATTACCCAACAAGAGCTTGCGACAACTTTAAATTGTTCACAAAAAACAATTTCCAATCAATTGCGTGCACTTGGCAAAGTCCAAAAGTTTGGAAAATGGGTTCCTCATGAGTTGACCGACAACAACCGTAATCAAAGAGTCACAATTTGCAGTTCGCTCCTCTCTCGTCAAAACTGTTTGCCGTTTTTAGAGCAAATTGTTACCGGAGATGAAAAATGGGTGCTGTGTGTTAATTTGAAAAGGCGGCCTCAATGGTTGGACAAAAATGAGGCTCCGCAGCCCACGCCAAAACCTGACTTGCATGCGAAAAAAGTGATGTTGTGTGTTTGGTGGAATTTTAAAGGAATTCTTCATTATGAACTTTTACCATCTAACCAAACCATTACAAGTGCAGTGTATAGTGCCCAATTGGAAAGGTTAGCCCAAGCTTTAAGAGAAAAAGAACCCGCGCTGATTAATCGGAAGGGCGTAATTCTTCACCACGATAACGCACGACCGCATACTGCAAGAATCACTGCTGAAAAACTGCGCCAGTTGGAATGGGAAGTTCTCCCTCAACCTGCATATTCTCCTGATATTGCCCCTTCCGATTACCATTTGTTTCGTTCTTTGCAAAACTTTCTTCTTGGAAAAAAATTTAATAATGAAGAATGCCTCAAAAATGCATTGACCAAATTTTTTGCATCAAAATCACAAGAATTTTACAACAGAGGGATTAAAATGCTTCCTGAGCGTTGGGCAGAAGTAGTAGAAAACAACGGCAACTATATTGTTGATTAAATTTTGTTGTATTGTTTAAATAAATTCGATTTAAAAAAGTATTAGAAAACGACATTATTACTAGACCTAATATTATTTAAAAAATTTTTTTAAATCAACTTTTTAACTTAAATGTAGTGACATCTTAAGTAATAATATCTGTGAAATCACAGTTTTGCTATCATGGCTATTATCTTCCTACCTCAAAGCAACACACTTAAAAAAAAAAAGATTTTAGACCCTCACCAGCCACCAAGTTTAATTTTATTTTATTAGATTTTAAAAATAGATTTTACAGAGAGAGGAAGGGAGAGGGAGAGAGAGAGAGAGAAATATCAATGTGAGAGCAACATCAATCAACTGCCTCCTGCACGTCCCCTACCACGGATTGAGCCCGCAACTTGGGCATGTGCCCTGACTGGGAATCAAACCAGCAATTTTTGCATGCAGGGGACAATGTCCAACTGAGCCATACTAGAAGGGCACCAGCTACCAAATTTCAGAACATAATTTTAAGTTTTATGCAGTTACTCTGGGATCTCTGATGAATAAGTAATAATTTGGACATTTAGGGGTTTATTTCTTTTTTTTTTCTTTTTTTTTTTAAATATATATTTTATTGATTTTTTGCAGAGAGGAAGGAAGAGGGATAGGATAGAGAGTTAGAAACATCGATGACAGTGAATCATCAACCAGCTGCCTCCTGCACAACCCCCACCAGGGATGTGCCCGCAACCAATGTACATGCCCTTGACGGGAATCGAACCTGGGACCTTTCAGTCCACAGACCGACGCTCTATCCACTGAGCCAAACCGGTTTCGGCGGGGTTTATTTCTTTTAAAGCCAAGGGAAATTAAAAAACATTTGGTGCAATCCTCTCATCTTTAAAAATTTGAAACCCAAAGCAGGTACATTATTTGTCCAAGGTCAGATGTTTAATAAAATGTTTTATAAAATGTCTAGGATTAGTATTCAGGTCTATATCAGTCCAGTACACTTTCCACTATACTATATCCATTCAGATTACACTAGAATAATACAGTATCCAGAATTCTTCATCTGTTACCTACCTCACTCTTCCATTCAGATTTATATGAATATGTTGCTTAAAATCTGGATATTTGGATGCCAGATATGCAAAGTCAGGAGGTTTATCCTTGTATCTATTTCTTGCATGCATTGATTTACTCAGAGCCATCTTTAAAAAGAAAAAGAAAAAAAAAAAAGAGAGAGAAAAACATGTTTAGTTTAACATATTTAAATTAAAAATATATTAATGTGGAAAAACTGTGGTTGCCAAGTCAACAGTTACAGTCAACACATCCTTACCAATTAAGTGAGAAAGTAGAAGCAATATTTTTAAATGAACATAACAAATAAGAATATGAAAGATGGTCATCATCATCTATCATTAGAGAAATGCAAACCACTTTACCTATTAGGATGGATGGCTATTATTTAAAAATTTTTAGAAGAAAATAATACATGTTGGAAAGGCTATAAAGAAATTAAGAGCCCTCATGTTTTGCAGGTGGAAACATAAAACGGTATAAATACTGTGAAAAATAGTTTGGTGGTTTTTAAAAAGTTAAAACACAGAACCACCATAAGAGCCAGCATTTTCCCTCCAAAGTATGCGCAAAAAACTAAAAACAGGGACTCAAACATATATTTGTTTACAATGTTCATAGCATCATGTTCACAACAGCCAAAAGGTGGAAACAACCCCAAGTATCCATATACAGATGAATAAACAGAATGTGGTATATGCATACAATGGAATATTATTTATATACTAAAGGCCTGTTGCAGGAATCTTCCTGCAAGAATAGGGCTTTCGCTGAAACCGGTTTGGCTCAGTGGATAGAGCGTTGGCCTGCGGACTGAAAGGTGTGCTGGAGGCAGCTGATCGATGTTTCTCTCTCATTGATGCTTCTAGCTCTCTATCCCTCTCCCTTCCTCTCTGTAAAAAAATCAGTAAAATAAAATAAAAGTAAATTTAAAAAATTAAAATAAAAGAATAGGGCTTCCTCGGGCCTATTCCTGCAAAAACAGGGCTTCCTATGGCCATGTCCACTGCCCCACCTGCTTCCCTCCCTTCTCTGGTGTCCTGCTTGCTTCTCCGCAGCTTTGCTCCCTTTTGCAGCGCTTGGCTTCCTTCTATGCTGTCTTCAGTCTTTGATCTGCTCCTGAATATGCAAATTAACTGACATCTTGTTTGGGTTAATTTGCATACTCACTCCCAATTGGCTTGTGGGAGTAGTGGAGGTACAGTCAATTTGCATGTTTCCCTTTTATTATATAGGAAGATATAAAACCCTAAATGGCCACTCAATTGTTAGACCCTTTGACTGGTCACTATGACATGCCCTGACCACCAAGGGGCAGATGCTCAACGCAGGAGCTGCTCCCTGTTGGTCAGTGAATTCCCACAGTGCGAGAGCCACTCAACTGACTGACAGATCCAAAATGACACAGGAGAATCAGAGGGGGGATTACCATTTTAGTAACCCCTTTTGATCCTCCTGTCATTTTAATTGCCTCCTCTGATCCTCCTGTGTCATTTTAAGTGATCCCCCTCCCCCCACCCCTGTGCCACTGAACACCTTCACCAGACATCCCCCGTACCCCTTTATCAGACATTTACCCCCTGGGGCCTGCCTGGGGACTGTCACTGGGCTTGCTGGGGCCTGGATCTGGGCTGGAGCAGGGTCTGCCACTGACTGAGAACCTTCAGTCATCATGAGGGCGGCCATGAGCATCAGGTAGTGTCATCAGAGACAGACCAGCACTCACCACCTTCACCGAATCCCATCTGCTCTAATCCTCCTGTTCTTCACGCATCTGCGAAAGTCTCCTCCTCTCTCCTGCCCCACACTCACCACTCACTCCGACCTCCGCTCCGCCTCCACACAGCAGTGACACCAGGACTCCGATTAACATCACTGGTTGCTAGACACCAGTCGGGGCGGCCCTAGCAACCAGTTTATGGTAAATTAATTTTCATTCTGAGACAGAGCCTGGAGGGGGCCTTATTTTCAGGGGGATGCCTTATATTTCACTCAGAAGGAAACCTGTAAGTAGGTCTTATTTTCAGGGAAACACGGTACATCCCTTGGGGGATGTCACTATACTGCTGGTTTCAGCCAGATGCCCGCAGTCCTACATCCCCTGAGGAGTCACCGATTGCAAGAGGGTGCAGGGCAGGCTACGGGACCCCACCAGTGCACGAATGCATGCACCATAAAAAGAATGAAATTCTGATACATGCTAAGCATGGGCAAATTTTAAAAACAAGAGAAATAAGCCACATCCAAAAGGAGTATTGTATTATATTAAATATCATATTATCCCATTTATATGAGGTACCAAGACTAGAAAAATCATACAGAAAGAGTAGAATAGATGTTTCTGTGGGTTTGGGAGAGCGAGGAATAATGAGTCATTCTTTAATGGGTACACGGTTTCTGTTTAGGATTAAAAACTTCTAGAAATGGCCAAGACCGGTTTGGCTCAATGAATAGAGTGTCGGCTTGGGGACTGAAGGGTCCCGGGTTTGATTCCGGTCAAGGGCATGTACATTGGTTTCGGGTATAATTCCCAGTAGGGGGTGTGCAAGAGGCAGCCGATCGATGTCTCTCTCTCATCGATGTTTCTAGCTTTCTATCCCTCTCTCTTCCTCTCTGTAAAAAATCAATAAAATATATTAAAAAAAATTTTTTTTTCTAGAAATGGATAGTGTTGATGGTTGCACAACTGTGAATATATTTTATGTCACTGAAAAGTAGTTAAAATGGTAAATTTTGTTATATAAATTTTACCACAAAAATATACACAGCAATGATGAATCTTTTTTTTTTTTTTTTTGAACGGAAAAAAATAGAAATTATGCCTTTAAAAACATCAAAGCAGCAGAAAGTACTATAATTTACAGTCAAGAATATTATAATCAGAGGTTAGTTTTTACAGTAGCCTGGCATGGACTGATTAAATTTATAGGTACCAAAAATCACTTAAATTTCAAAAATTATCTTCTATTCCAACTTCCTTTATAAATGTCAGCCTTGTCACTCCTAGGTAGCTAGAACCAAATGAAAACAAACATAATTTGACTTCTACCAGATTATAAAGAGGAAAAAAGTTAATGTATTTATAGCAATAAATTAAAACTAGAAGGCCAGTGGTTTGGTAAATCTCTAAGTAGTTGGTAATTTTAAAATATTTAAAAATATTACATATCCTTTTCTTTATGCCATTTTGATTTTCCTTTTCTTTATACCATTCTGCATTTTCCACTCTTTTTTTATAATGAGCATTCATCTAAACAGTATTATGTAGGAGTCACCTGATAGCTCTCTATCGCTCTCATATTCCAAGAAATAACAGTCATGTGGATTTAATCTGCTAAAAACTTCCTAAATCCATCAATTTTTATCTATTTCCATCAATATAAGCCAAATACAAATTACCTAGATGGCTATAAGTGTCTCTTAATTGGTCCCCGACTCCACTTTTATTCTCTCCATTCCTTTTTCCACTTTGAAGTGATCATTTCTAAACACAAATCTCTTTACATCCTTGCTCAAAACCTTACTCTTAGGATAAAAACAAAAAACCTTACTTCATCTTACAAATAAGGTCCAGCCTGGTGTGGACTCACCTATTTCTGCACTATCAGCTCACACACACACACCCCTGAGCTCATTTTCTATTCCTCCATCTGGCAATAGGGTCTTTACAAAACACAGATTACTCCTTCTGTCTCTAAGAGTGATTTCAACCTTTTTCATCTCATGGCCCTTAAACTAATTACTAAAATTCTGTGGTACACCAAAAAATATATTATATTTCTTACTGATCTGATAAAAATTTATTTATTCACACAGGACAGCTATTATTGTGTTGGCTGTTGCCTTTTTTTTCAACCTGACTGAATAGTCAGGTATTACATGTTTTAAAAATTCTTGCGGCATACCAATTAAAAATCACTGATCTATAATGTCCTCCTCCCCCTCCACATCATCCCACCCCTCCTCACCCACTCATCCTTACTATCACACTTCAAGCATCTCTTCTTCAGGAATGTCTTTCCTTCCTTGATCTCCCCGGTGAAGCCATATCCCTTATTAAGCCATATCCCTAGCACAAGCACCTTTTCTTTGCAAGCTTTGTTTGAGATGTAATTTTACATAGTCGTAAATCTGTTCACTTTATTTCAGAAAGTTTTTTGACAGCTTTCTACACTGCAAATTTAACAACCATTTTCAAAAAAGAATTGTCTTCACCCCAGACCTTTCCAAATCATACATCCAACTGCCCACCAGATTTCTCATTTGAATGGCTCAAAAATATTTCATGCACAAACATGTCCAAAATTAAATAATTTCTATCCACCCCAAAATGGTCCTCATCTGATCTTCCCTATTTCAATGAATGATACCACTATCTTTCTTGTGGTGCACAATCCAGAAATCTTTAGTATCTTCACCATCCCACCTCCCCAATTCCAAACACACCATGTCCTGAATATTCTCTATCTCCTGATTATTTCTTGGTAACTTTTCACCCTTCACAACGACACATCTCTAAGCGTCCAAGGTCATTACCATCTTTCTTGGATTATGATAAGTGATCTCTCTATAACCACTCTTGCCCCTGCAATCCACTTTTCACACTGCAGACAAGTCTTCTCTCCTCCATCCCACACAAATCTGAATATTCTTTGCTAAGCCCCTTCAGTGGCTTCTAAAGCTATTAGACTGATAAAGTCCAAAACCATTAACAAGGTATAGATCATCTAGGCCCTGCCTATCCCTCCAGCCTCATTTGTTGCCAATTCCCCCTTCCAGCACAGTGCTCCAGACATACCGGTTTTTTCATTTTTCTTCATTCACTCTGACATTTTAAAGGTATGTTATCCTAAAATGCATAAGACCAATGGACAGGGCTTACTTAAGATAAAGACTGACCTTTGCTAAGAGAGCTACAGGCCTGAGATGTAACTACCCACTAAGACCTGCCCGATTGGAATTTATGATCAGACCCGTGGTGTGTGGTTATTTTGGTGACTGAGCTTATCAGGCCGGCCACGTGGCCCCCATGAGCTTGTCAGGTTTATTACATAGACCCTTTTTCATTCACATATGGCAGATTCAACTCATTTCCTACATTACTCAACCTTTTTGGTCAGTAAAGCCACTTCTTTGCTATTCAAGCTCCTCATAACAGACAATGGGTCCTTAGCTAAATCTAGCATGTTCCTCAGTTTAGTTCAGAGTCACCTCTTACCTGCCACTAGCACTGTCACTTCCTTCTCTCTAACCTAATGTACTTTCCTCTTCTGTGCTCATCCTGCTCTTAGCTACGCTGGCCTCCTTGTTTTTTATCAATTCTGGTATACTCCTGCCTCAGAACTTTTGTATTTGCTGTTTGTTCTGCATGGACTTTTCTTTGAACCAGAAATACATACATACAAGATACCCTGGCCTTGTTCAGGTCTTTAAATCAGATATCACCTCACGGATGCCTCTCATACTATCTTTACTTAAAATTGCAGCAGTGACCGCACTCCTGGTTTCCCTAACTTGCTTCTAACTTCTACACAGAACTTACCCATTTGACATTCCATACATTCCAGATCTTTCACTTTTTTTTTTTTTAAACCTGCCATGCCAGTGGGCTTTATGAGGGAAAATCTTTTGTCTGTCTTGTTCACCACGATTTCACAACATCAAATTGGGCAATCAGGTCCTGGGAGAGTAAGCACTCGGTATTCGTTGATTGAAAACACTGATGTGTGTGTAACTCTTTTCACTATCCAAACCACTGAAACACAGCACCTCATTCGTCTTGACTCCCAAAGAGGCTCAGGCCTAAGGTTGGGGCTTTTTCTTCTGGGTTGACCGAGTCGGTCGTAAAAAGCCAAAGTAGTCGAACCCTGAAGCTACCGTTTCCTTGGTTTCTCTTGACCCTCAAATAATCTTCTTTCAACTACCACGCACCTTAACGCAATCTACATTTCGCCTTCAGAGTTTCGAATGTCTTCTTAACAAATTCCTCCCACTCCAACCCCAATCTCCCCTTTTTCCTCGTTGCCTTCCTTCATGAACCCGACTTTTCCTTCTAGTCCCGCCACGGCCAGTTCTCCATCTCTCCCACAGTCCCACGCCTTCATCTTACCCATTCAGTTTGCCTCCCCGCCTCCGTTTCCCATCTCTCTGAACCTCCTCAGCCCCAGGGGCCTTCCCTACTTTAGTCGTAGCCTCCATCCTAGTAGTCAACTCCTCACCCCCCACGCCTCAACCCCCTGTCGGGTCTCTCTCTCCCTAGACTCCCCCGAAGTCCAGCACCCGAGCATGAGGAACCTGGGGGATGCGTGAACTAAGTGAACTCGTAACCATCGCGAAAGATAACAAGTGACTTACCTCTGTGGGCCAACTTCCAGCCAAACCACCAATCTGGAGGGGGCCGCTAAACCCCTAGTCTCACACCACAGGCAGCGCGAAGCTCCTGGAAACGCAGATGTTACGCTCCCAGCGCGCCGCCATCTTGGGCAGCCATCCAGCCTCGCGATTGGACAATGAACACATCGCGAGATCTGTAGTAGAGTCGGAAGAAAGAACAAACTATCGCGAGACCTGGAGTTTGCGGCTCCTACAGACAAAAAAAAAAAAAAAAAAGAAAAGAAAAGAAAGAAAGAAAGAAGAAAAGGGAGGGGGGCGTGGTAGCGAGCTGAGTCCTTGGTGGAGGTTCCTGCATTAGAATCTGCTAGGTAACTTTTTTTTTTTTTTTTTTTTTTTTTTTTTTTTTTTTTTTTTTTACAAATGTAGATTATTTTTTTTAAAGTTGCTTTCTGGACCTCACTGCAGACTTACTAAATCATAGTCTCTGGGATTGGTCAGGAAATATGAGGATGGAAGTGGGGCGGGGGTGACGGCTTTTAGATTTGGTGGCGGGCAATGAGCGTTTGTTGTGCCACAGGTCTCTCCTGTGATGTCTCATGTAAACATCGCAGATGAGCTGTGGGGTAAGAAAGAGTAGTCTCATTTCCAGAGGGAAAACTGGGGATCGTTTTGTTCAAGGTCTTACACCCACATGACATCAAGTCCATTTTCTTTGTATTTCTTCACCTGCCTCTATCAGGAAGCATTATTAAATGTATTTTAATGAGTTGGGGAGGGATGGGGGATTGGAATGGGGGTTTGAGGACAAATATGTGATACCTTAATCAATAAAGAAATTTTTAAAAATTAAAAATAAATAAATGTATTTCATTTTTCTTTTCAACGCGGTTGCACTAATTTTTACCCTCTAGGAAGTAGACTGAGCATTAGTTTCCCCATTTTACATTAGAAGTAAAAAGGTCAACGACTTGCCCAGGTCGGTGTGGCTCGGTTGGTGGGAGTGGCGACCTGGAAACCAAAAGGTCCCGGCTCCTGTCTAAGTTGCAGTTGGATCCCAGATCAGGCAGCCCATGGATGTTTCTCTCTCAAACTGATGCTTTTCTCTTTCTCTCCCTATCCCTTCCTGTTTGTGTAAAATCAGTGAAAGCATATCCTCAGATGAGGATGAAAAGAAAAAGAATGTAAAAAATTTCCTGAAGCTGAGATAACAAGTCTTCAAATTAAGAGTTCACTGTGTACCGAACTGAATGAATTTTAAAAGACCCACACCAAGTCAAGTTTTCAGAGTAGTCCCTAATACGATATGACCGGTGTTCTTATAAGGAGAAGAGAGTAGGTCACAGACCACGCGGAGGGATAGCCGAGAAAGGACACGGCAAGAAGATGCCCATCTGGAGCCAAGGAGAGACCTCAGAGGAAACCAAACCTGCTGGTGCCTTCATCTTGGACTTCCAAGCCTCCAGAATTGTGAGAAAATAAATCTCTGTTGTTTAAGCTACCTAGCCTATGGTAGTTTATTGTGGAAGCCCTAGCAAACTAATACAAACCTTGTTGGTTATGTTTATTCGAAAGTATTTTATATTTTTTGATGCTGTTGCAAATGGAACTGATTTTTGTGTATTGATTTTTGCATCCTGCAACTTTGCGGAATTTGTTTATTCTACCTCTTTTTGTTGGAATCTTGGAGGTTTTCTACGTATAAGATCATGTCATCTGTGAACAGAGGTAATTTTACTTCTTCCTTTCCAATTTTGATGCTTTTTATTTCTTTTCCTTGCCTAATTGATCTGGCTAGAACTTCCAGTACTATGTTGAACAGAAGTGGCATAAGCAGGCATTCTTGTTTTATTGCTGCTCATCTTAGAGAAAAAGCTTTTGGTCCTTCACAGTTGAGTATGCCATTAGCGCTTTTCATTTATGGATAGCCTTTATTATCTTGAGGTAATTTCCTTCTGTTCCTAATTTGTTGAGTGTTTTTATAAAAAAAAAATGGTGCTAAACTTTGTCAAATGCTTTGTCAGTTGAGATAATCATTTGGTTTTCCCCCCTTCATTCGATTTATGTGGTATATTAATTGATTTTCATATGTTAAACTGTTAAGCTTTCTTTGCATTCCAAGAGTAGACCCACTTGGTCATAGTGTATTTTAATATGCTGTTGAATTCAGCTTGCTAGTATTTTGTTGAGGATTTTGCATTAATATTAATAAGAGCTATTGGAATAGGTTTCTTTTTTGTAGTATCATTGTCTGATTTTTGCTTCAGGATAATCTTCTAGAGTGAGTATGAAAATATTCCTTCCTCTTCAATTTTTTGGGAAGAGTATGAAGAGGATTGGTGTTCATTCTTTAAATATTCACCATTGTTACAGCTAATCTGTCTGGAATCTAGTGAGGAGGTCTGGACCTTTTCTAAATGGCTAGCTGAATGTTTCACTACCATTAAGGTTTTTTATTGTAGTAAAATACATATAAAGTTTATAGTCCTAACCATTTTTTAAAATTATATATTTTTTTATTGATTTCAGAAAGGAAGAGAGAGAGAAACATCAATGATGAGAGGGAATCATTGATTGGCTGCCTCCTGAACACCCCACACAGGGGATCAAGCTAGCAATCCGGGCATGCGCCCTGACCAGGAAACAAACCGTGACCTCCTGGTTCATAGGTGATACTCAACCACTGAGCCATGCTGGCCAGTCTTAACCATTTTGAACTGTACAGTTCGGTAGTGTTAATTTTAACATTGTTTTGAAACAGATCTCCAGAACTTTCAACTTGCAAGACTAAAAACTCTATATCTGCCAAAACCGGTTTGGCTCAGTAAATGGAGTGTCGGCCTGAGGACTGAAAGTTCCCAGGTTCGATTCCGGTCAAGGACATGTACCTTGGTTGTGGGCACATCCCCAGTGGAGGGTGTACAAGAGGCAGCTGATCGATGATTCTCTGTCATCGATGTTTCTAACTCTGTCACTCTCTCTTCCTCTCTGTAAAAAATCAATAAAGTATATATTTTTAAAAACAAAAAACTCTATATCTATTAAACAACAATTCCCCTTAATTCCCCTTGTCTCTCTCCCCCTAGGCCCTGGTATCCACAATTCCACTTGTGTTTCTATGAATTTGACTATTTTAGATAGCTTATATAAGGGAAATCACACAGCGTTTGCCTTTTTGTGACTGGCTTATTTCATTTGAACACCGTTTTTAATCCATCAATTTAAATTGTCTTTTTAGTAATTTATGTAGTTCCCATATATGCTTGGGTTTATTTCTAGGCTTGTTTCATTGATCTGTCTACCTATTTCTATACATGTACACATTTGTTTTAATTACCATAGATATTTTTTTGTTTTTGTTCATCTTCACCTGAGGATATTTTTCCATTGATCTTTTAGAGAGAGTAGAAGAAAGAGGGAAAGACAGAAACATCTATGTGAGAGAACCACATCCATTGGTTTCCTCCTGTACATGCCCCAATCAGGCCCCTGGCTGGGGAGGAGGCTGCAGCCAAGGTACCTGTCCTTGACCGGAATCAAACCCAGGACCCTTTGGTCCATAGGCCATCGCCCTGTTCATTGAGCCAGACCAGCTAGGGCACCATAGCTTTTTTTTTTTTTTCTTTTTTTTTTTTATATATATTTTATTGATTTTTATACAGAGAGGAAGGGAGAGAGATAGAGAGTTAGAAATGTTGATGAGAGAGAAACATCGACCAGCTGCCTCTTGCACACCCCCTACTGGGGATGTGCCTGCAACCAAGGTACATGCCCTTGACCGGAATCGAACCTGGGACCTTTCAGTCTGCAGACCAATGCTCTATCCACTGAGCCAAACCGGCTTCGGCAGCACCATAGCTTTTTATTGTCTAACTCTCCTCACAAGTTTATGTTTCCAGATAAACTCAGGAACCATTTTACTAAGTTCTCTACAAAAATCCTTTCGAGATGTTTTATTGTTATTTCATTAAATATAAAGATCAATTCTGAGAGAATTGGCATCTCTACGATATTGACTCTTCCATTTATATTTAATATGACTTCACCCTAGCATACGAGAAAGACCGTTCAGAACAGAGTCCCACTCTTTTCTTCCCATGTTTAGCCACCCTCCAGCCAAACTCACTATGATCTGGTCCCGGAACATTCTTTGTGTTCTCTCTCTCTCTCTCTCTCTCTCTCTCTCTCTCTCTCTCTCTCTCTCTCTCTCTCTCTCTCTCTCTCCTCGCCTTTTCCTCTTTCTCTCTCTCCCCAAACTGGCCTCTCTTGTTGAAATGCCCCTCTTCTCTGTTCCACTATTTCAACTGTCCATAACCTATACATTAAGTTCCATCATACATCGCCACTTCACCCATTCTTCCTGAGTCCTCCATCCATGACTTCTCCCTCCTTTGAAACTCCATAAACCTTGGTTTGTCATTTTATTAAGGCGCTCACCCCAATTTGTCCTTTGCTGTTATTTGTATGCGTCCCTTATTGGTCCACAATCAACAATTTTGCATTAGAACAACTGGTCTCAACAATTTTGGATTAGAACAGGTTGATGCTGAACCGTGGAGCCGCTGCGGCCGGGCATCAGTCATTCCTTTTTATGGCTGAATAATATTCCACCATAGGATGTATAAACCACATTTTACTTACCCATTCATCAGTTGATGGACATTTGGATTGTTTCCACTTTTTGGCTCTTGTGAACTATTCTTGTACATGTTGTTGTTTGAACACTTGTTTTCAATTCTCTTGAATATATTCATAGGAGTGGAATTGCCGGGTCATATGGTAACACTATGTTTAACTTTTTAAATTAATGACTGCATCATTTTATATTCCATCAGCAGGGTATGTGTGTTCCAGCTTTTATCAAATATTATAAAAATAATGAGTGTGCTACAGGCTTATGGCAAAATACAACAGTCTTTTACCTCTGTCCCATTCCTCAGAGGCAATTACTTTCAATTACTTTCACTTTTCTCCTTGTTTTTAACCATGTTTCTAAATAATATGCATATGTTCCAATTTCATTTGATCAATTCTAGGCATTATATTATGCTGACTTCAGTACTCTTTGTTTTATTTCTTTTTTTAATTTTTTTTTAAGAATTTATTTTATTTTATTTTTTTAATATATTTTATTGATTTTTCACAGAGAGGAAGAGAGAGGGATAGAGAGTTAGAA